GCGCATTTACAAAAACACACCATGCCACACTGCAAAAAGTGATCAGAAATGACTTGGGGAACATGACAGAGTTCAAGGCGTTCAAGGGGGGGGGGGGGGGGGGGGGGGGAGAAAAAAAAAAAATCCAAAACAGTTATTAACTTAAAAATTATGGCAAAAACGTAGTTTCTTGCAACCCTAGAATTAAGATAAAAATATTCACAAACGAAAAAACACTTCTGGCTGAAGTGAATTTAACATTAAAAATTAAAACCCTCGGCGTGCACTGCAGCACAAGCAGACAGATGCGCGACTCAGAGCAGCATGTGTCACTGACACCAGAGCATCAGAGCGCAGCGGACAGGTGGAAAATGTCACCATCAGCATATTATTCTACATCAATAAAATCTACTTTATCATTATTGAGTCACATTGTTGAAAGAATTTAGTCGTCTGTGTTGAAGCAGGATAATAGGTCTCCATTCATTGCACATCGGGCTTTCCTTGTCAGAGATGTTTTCTTTTTTAATTACATGATAGCTATTCTCCCTTAACTCACCAGTAAAGAATACCTTTGTCCATTTCAAATAACCCGTGTCAATAATAATATCCCAGTTCTGATTTACTGTGAAACTTTTTTAGGCAATTCATGCAACAATTAGACCAGATGACTTCTTTACTTGGCCTAATGGGGTTAGTGTTGTGTTCAAGGTCACCCCAAAAAATGGGAGGAAAAAAAAGGCAGAATATTCGATTTTTTCACAAAAATCCATCGAACGAAGCTTCGAAGCTTTGAATTTTTTGGGTCAGGCCTAGCATAAACCCACTGATGTTTGGTAGATGCACCAAGCTCTTATGTCTGTAAGGTCGGCATCCACTCCAAGGCCATCCAGCTCCTTTGCGAAGCCACTCTCACAATTTGTAAAGCTAGGCGATAAATCGATTTTATCGATTAATTGAAATTTGTAGTTTAGGTCAATTTGTTTTAATGAAAATCCGAGTTTCTCTTTAATATCCGCCACCAACGCTCCCCACTGGGCTCCTGTAGTTCAGAGTGGGATCACCCCCCCCCCCCCCCCCCCCCCCCCCCCCGCGTTGTGGTTCGGGGGGGGCCCCCCCCCCCCCCCCCCCCCCCGCGCGCTTGATACACAAACATCATGGCAGTGAGCGGGGAAGAACTCGTTCCCAAGAAAGGGAACGAGTTCGGTTTTGTGGCAATATAATGGTAGGGGAAACACTGCGGTATGATGAGAAAGGAGCCCGGTGGAGAACCATCACAGATGGAGTCGCGATGTATCTTGCAAGAGATATGGTGCCCATATTTACCGTGGAAAAGCTGGGGTTTATTCACATGCTGAAAGTTTTGGAGCCCATTTACGTGCTACCAGGCCGCAAATATTTGTCTGAAAATTGATTTTAAGTAGAGGGGGAAAATTGATTTAAATCGTGAATCGGATTTGTTGAGAATTTTTGTTTTTTAGGCTATATCGCCCAGAGCTTAAACAATTAGTCAGTTTAAATAATTTTATAAGCAAAAATGCAAAAAAAATCACTGGTGCAGGTACCTTCAATGTGAATATTTTGTGGTTAATATGTCTTTTTGGGTAATAAAGTTAATATATATTTGGGGTTGGGTCTAATGGTCTGACAAAAAAAAGACATTTTGAAGACACCACCCCTGACCACGGATGGACATTTTTCACAATTTATTGATGTTTTAGAGACAAAATGATTTATAGCTACTGCTACTATTTTCTGCGATGTTCAGCACATCCAAGTCATCATCAGTGAAATATTTGAGTACACTATATTTTGCCACCGAGTAGTCAGAGATAAAAAAAAAAAACAACTTGTGGGCAACAGTACTCACAAAAGACAAAAAAGTCAAAATGTATAATTTACTAGGGCCTAAGCCTTCGTCAGTGTATCAAACAGAGACAAAGACACTGAAAGCCTGTTATATACATAGGTAAAGTTCTAGCACCAATCACAATGCAAGGTATAATGAGAGGCAATAGAAACCATCTGTGTTGCAGCTGCAGCCAATGACAGGCTGACACAGAGCAATTGTCAAGACTGTTGCACCTGAGTCAATCCATTAATAGAAACATGCAAATACATTGAAAACATAAGAACATACAAGTTATACAGACTCAGACTAGTTGAATGGGAAAAGGGGAGAATTAAAGTGACTGAAAAGAGGCTGTAAAAAGCTTTTAAGTTACGGGGAAAAGTTTAAAAATGATTAAACTTTTCCTATTTTATATTTTTGAATATTGAGATTGGTGTGTATTTAGTCTTGCCACCAGACAATCAGAGATCTCCGCCTTCTGATAGTCTGGGGACACTCCTTTCTAAAGTGTGTTTAACACACCGGAGAAAACGGCCGGCAACAAAGCAACGCCTCTTGCATTTTTGAAAAGGCCCCCCCCCCCCCCCGGAAATGTGCGCTCCCCCTTTTCTCGTCTGCAAGGACACAAGGACACAAACACACAGAGAGCTTGAAAATGGATGCCGAGAGATTTAACTCCATTTTATCAAACGTGTGCTCTGTCCACAAGATTGTGTAAATGAAGGACTTACAGCGACTTGAGCCATTTTGTACCGCTACACGTGTTTTTAGTCGGACTATGTTTACGAGCACAAGAGTTCAACGAGCCACCGAAGGACCGCCCTGCGGATTTACTATTGGTTCTGCAACGTAGGGAGTTTTTTTAAACTCTGAAATTGTATCCGCCCATCTAAACACAAAATCAGGGAGAAAGTCATCAGTCTTTAGTTAAGCAAAGCGTCTAAAGACTAACTTGTGAGTCTAGTGTGTATTAGGTTCTGACTATTTAGCTGGGGTTCTCTTAGTCCCTAGTTGAGTTATGCCCAGTGACTTAAAAGCTTTATACAGCCTCTTTTCAGTCACTTTAATTCTCCCCTTTTCCCATTCAACTAGTCTGAGTGTATAACTTGTATGTTCTTATGTTTTCAATGTATTTGCATGTTTCTATTAATGGATTGACTCAGGTGCAACAGTCTTGACAATTGCTCTGTGTCAGCCTGTCATTGGCTGCAGCTGCAACACAGATGGTTTCTATTGCCTCTCATTATACCTTGCATTTTGATTGGTGCTAGAACTTTACCTATGTATATAACAGGCTTTCAGTGTCTTTGTCTCTGTTTGATACACTAAAGAAGTCTTAGGCCCAAACGTTTGTTTGTTTGTTTGTTTGTCTGTTTGACCGTGTGTTGCCCTAGTAAATTATACATTTTGACTTTTTTGTCTTTTGTGAATGCTGTTGCCCACAAGTTTTTTTGGAATCATTCTGCAACTTGCACCCACTGTTTTTAAAAATATTGGAGTTGTGCGTCCTCCTTTCTTCAGCTAGTCTGAGAGATAAACATCCCTGCAAAGCAAGCCCACTGTCTCTGCTGCCCTGCAGGGACAAATATTGCCACAATCCAGGTATTTTGTCATTGCCAGACTCTTGCGCAAGTGCTGATAAATTATGCAAATGGACTGGCATTGCCTTCCTGGTGTAAAAAAAACATCTGAAGTAGGTTACAAACCATCTGGACTGAAATATTTTCTACAACAGAATTGTTGTTGGGGACAGAATCCAGTATAAACATAATGCTAGAGTGCAGGGTGTCTGCCCGACTGCTTGTACACACGTAAGAGCATCTGTTTTGTACTGTTTTTCTACTTCTCCAGTTAACAGATGACTCACAAGATCGAAGGTCGAGAGACACTGATAGACACACAGGGGTCTCTAGGCAGACTATGTATTCACAACACATCAATGTTCAGGTGCACACTTTCTAATGACCAAACACACTCTCTTCAAGTATCCCCTGGAAGTTAATACACATCTCCAACACAAATCTAGGAGACTATGCCACATTAAGTACTATAAGCCATTACCGCCAACCCAGAATGATACTTTCCAATCAGCACAGTGGCCAGTATGCTAAAGCATTAGCATAGAACAGATCCAATCGTCTACACTGTACACACAGATTTTTATTATGTTATTTATTCTGACTCACACACTGTGACTGCTCAGAAACCAAACACTTTATAGTAGCATGCCTTACCTTTGCAGCCTGTGTATTTCCTCATGTTTGATATGAAATGTGATTTTTACAAATCTGCAGTTGCACTGGGAGAGACACTGCTATGTAAAACACACACACAGACACACACAGACACACACAGACATGCAGTAGTGGTATGAGGCATTTGAACCAAATTACCAGTCGCGTGCAGCTCCTCTGAGGGGGGCCTACAGGCCAAACCATTAGCTAATTCAAAGCCTGTCCTTCATATCCAGACCATTGTCGACTGTAACTGGTCCATTTCCTCTACTGGACAATCAATGCACAAGTAACATTCGCTAAGACAGAGGACTGCTTGTTACTCTGCCAAAAAAAAAAAAAAGAAAGAAAGAAAACAGGATATCTACTGTTTATATAAATGCATTCCCTGTTGCTTTCATTTACATAAGTAAGGCTAGCAGCCTACTTCTGCCTGTCATAACCAGAGATGAGACAAAAAAAGCATGGCTGTCAAGCCCCGAATTAAACTGGACTCCTTTTCAAACAGATTCCAGTTCACATGTAGCACTGTGTGGTAAACAGATGGATGTGGCTGAAAAAGGAGATTCATATTCAGACTCTCACAAACTGAGACAGTTTCACACCACAAAAATTATGGAAGCAACCCCCCCTCCATCTGGTGAAGGGTGTGTGTATGTGTGTGTGTGTGTGTGTGTGTGTGTGTGAGTGTGAGTGTGAGCGCGCGCGCACACGCGAGAGAGAGAGATCAGCTCCGATCCTTTTTATCTAAGATAATTAGGGAAAGGGAGCAAGCAAGAAAGAAAGAGCTGGAGTCCGTACTCTTCTGTTGTTTGCTCTCATATTCCCTCTCTCTCCTCCCTGAATGTGACGCTGTCTGCCCACCCACTCCTAAAGAGAGAGAGAGAGAGAGAGAGAGAGAGAGAGAGAGAGAGAGAGAGAGAGAGAGAGAGAGAGAGAGAGAGAGGAGGGACACCAAGCAGCAGAGAGAGCCAGTCTGTTTTCAGCTCCCAGTTCACTGTAGCTCCTGCCAGACAGCACTCATCCATCCACCATCACACACTCGCAGACACATTCACTCTCACTATACAACAGCTGACAACACCTTTTCATTTTCTCAGCAGCAGCACAGACTCACACAGCCAGATCCAAAAGAGACGAAAAAAAAAAAAAAAAACCCGACTCCATTTGTGCTGCAGACACACCAGCTCTGAGGAGGCTGGGTCGAGGCTGGAGAGGGTGACTGGAGAATGGAATGGAACCTCAGAAGGATGGAAAGTGAACTGAGGCACATCAACCCGGACCTGCTGCAGCCCAGCAAGAGCTTCAAGAAGCCCTCTTCAGGCACCATCACCATCAACGTAGGGGGGTTTCTGTACACCGCCCATCGGACCACCCTTGCCAAACACCAGGGTTCCTTTCTGGAAGAGCTGGCCAACGGTAAGAAGCCGGTTCAGCACACTGATTCCATGGGCAACCCATTCATCGATAGAGATGGTCCAGTTTTTCGCCATGTGCTCAACTACCTCCGAACTGGAGAGCTCCAGCTGCCCGACGACTTCCGGGAGGCAGGGCTCCTGCGACGGGAGGCTGATTTTTACCGTCTGAGTGAACTGGTGGAAAGCGTGGTCGAATGGGAAAGTCAGAGGGCGGCCCAGCGGGAGGCCGCCTTTTTGGAGATGACAGACAGCCATGAGAGGTCGCAGGGCCTCAAGGTGTACTGCAGTGACTCCACCTTCATCGAAAAGGTCAAAGCGCGGCTGGTGCAGATCTCCAAGAGCCGCCTGGATGGCTTTCCGGAAGAATTTGTGGTGTCGTCCAATGTGATCCAGTTCCGACACTTCATCAAGTCGGAGCCGGGATCACGGCTCGTTCTGAAGGAGGACAGCACATTTTTGTGCACACTTGACTGTCTGAAACTAGAGACAGTGATGCTAGCGCTGAGATCAGGCTACAAGCTGGTCACCAGCCTCGATAGCAGCAAAGGCTCTGTGGTGGCGGCTGAGGCCCTGCACTTTGTCAAGTAAGATAAGAGGGAAAAGAGGGAAGAGAGAAGAAGAGGGAGAGGCAGGGAGGGAGAAGAGTAGTGCCTGATTCCAAATCCACCCCGCTAATGTAAGGTATTGGCTTGAAGATCTTGTAACATGTGGTGAGCTGTAATGTGTTATTGGGTGGGAGAAGCATAACAGGTGGGTTAGACTGTCTCACAGGACTGTGTTTGTATCTTTTCTGCAAAAAGCTGTCTTACAGACACAAGATTTGATACATTTGGGGTAACAGCGGGTAATTCATTAACCTTTACACTGTCTTGTAAGCTAGTATTTATAGAATTCAGAATGATCCAGATCAACTTAGCGTTTATCATACCTAAACTGCATTTGATTGGACATCACACAAAAAGTACGACCCTAAACTATGAAAGACAAGCCATCAGTGAATCTTTCCATAGAGAGGACGAAGGGACCAAACAGAGTCTGAACATCGACAGCTTTATCAGTGGATTTGTCTCTGCACAAGGACTGCCTCTGCCGCTTTGTCAACAGCTGCAAAAGCCTTCAAAACCAGCCGTGATGTGCACTGTTGTGCCATTCAGCTTCGACTACAGTCTGTGCCTGTGTGTATGTGTGTGTTTTGCTATACACTGTGTGTGCTGTGTTTAGTTGGTTTAATAGCTTGTGTTTAGTTTATTAGCCTCTCTGGAGCCTGGGGGGAAACCCGCCGCGCATTGAGGTCGTGTTTGGATTGACTAACAAACTTGACATCCAAAAATCAAACTGAAGCAACACAAACTGTTTTCTCTGTGAACAAATTGAGTTTAAGTGCAAAGAACCGTGATTATTGTAAGGGCTTTGAATCTAGCATGATGCATGTGCACTAAATGAACTGTGTGTTTGTTAGTGCTGTGAGCCTCCGTGAAGTCAGTGCCACAATGCCTATTACTTTTCAATGTGAGTATTTTACAAATAAAAGTGACACTGAAACTATTGGGAAGTGTTTTGAGGTGTATCTGCAAAAGTCTGTGTACAGTCTAATGCCTGAGTAACTGCTTGGTGTAAGAAGCCTATGAAATTCTGTTATTATAATGCTAAATGTTGAAAGTTACTTTACATCATTATTTAACATCAGACAGCTTGTGCACAGGGATGATGGCTATTTTGCTTGCATTCATTAGCATAAAAGGTATACTGATGACCATTAAATGCTGAGCCACATGAACTTAGTCCGTACATGGTGTAACTCTTTACCACTGAGGCAGGCAGGAGCATTATCTATCTAAAGTTTCCAGAATCTTCTGATGGAAAAAAAAAAATAAGTGGGAGTGACAAACTGAGCTGTCTCACACTTTGAGCTTAGCAAAACAACATTTTCTTGCATACAACTACTCTTTTTACACTTCTCTGCATGTGTTAAACACTGCTTCTCATGTCTGGAACAAACTACAAGGTGTGCAAAAACATTCAAGGATCACTGGGACAAAAATAACACTATGTGCAGCATATTCTTGGTCATTTCACACATTAGTTGTCAGAACAGTAGAGAATGTAATGTTCCTGAGTTTCTGCTCACTGTATTAAGACATCAGATCAAGTCCCACTTTGGACAGATTCAAAGTGGCTTCAATGGATTAACGCCTGGAAGATTTTCAAATACAGTCACCTACAGAAATAACAGCCCTTTAGTGTAATAGTCTATATCGCTGGTTGCCAACCTGGGGGTCACAACCTGCACCGGGGGTTGTCAAATCTTCATGGGCACGGCAAGGTGTTCTTGATTTTAGGGGGTGTAAAAAAAAGAAAAAAGAAAAACAATGAAATAAAAACAGTAGGCCTATATCTCGTTTTTTTTTACTTTGTGAAGAAAAATAAATTAAATTTTATTTCTAAAGTGTAGATTATTATTTAAGATATGAATTTCAAAAAAATGTCACAGGATAATGGCATGGTGAAGACCTGAACACAAGCTGTATTCACTCTCTGCTAAATGTCCTGCATTACAGAAGTATGCAGCTAAAACAACCAAAGATTTAATAGAACAATGGCCAGGCATCAGGCAGAAGAAAACACTGAAGCCTATTATGTATACTGAAAAAACATTATACAGACAGATAATTGTGTAGAAAGTTCCTAAAGTATCATAAAAAACCATCTCTGATGTAATATTCACAGGAAAAAATCTCACTTGTTTCACATAAACGTCCTGCTGTTATTGCCTTCACTATTTGGGTTATTTGTACAGGTCATCAGTTGTTCTATACTGTAATCTCTATGTATTGAATACAATATGAAATATCCATAAAATATGTCACTCAGTATGAGGTTGTCAGTTTACTCAATGTTGGGGATCGGGTCTCTTAAAAGGTTGGGAACCACAAATATGCTCCATCAATTTTATCATTTTCACCAAATCATTTAATCATTCAAATCATAATTTCACCAAAAGTAATTTTTAACATGTTTACATTAGGTGTCCCTCAGAGGTAGTATGGGAAGTAGACAGCGATATTTTTGGTGGCTTTTATACAGTATATTACTATAACTTTTTATTGAGGATAGAAAATTAGAATATGTATAGCTGCTTCATGTAGAGTACATTGTTAACAGGTTGTGGTAGATGCAACACACTTTGTATATCCTGTGTTTTTTGAGACTTAAAATCAGTATAAAGGGTGAAATAAATAATCTACCCTAAAGATGCAGATTTATGTGGAATTCAGTTCTGCCTGTTCACACTAGACAGACATGACCAGATGATGTATAAACTGAGGAACGACCAAACTACATTGTAACAGAAGTGAAAATGTCTCTCCATTTTGCCCTGTCCAATGACTGTCACTGCTGCTAAATCTGTTGCAGTAATTATTTCTACCAATGACTATAATTTGGAGAAACAAAAAAAACAATACATATAAATGTTTTAGATACTATGAAGAATTTTCTTTAAAAAACAATGTGTAGACTCATATAGAAGTCATTCCTCTAAATCATCACTTACTACAAGTGTTTGGTAGTGTGTTTTTCTGCAAAAATTCTCCCCTCTGCCTGTATGTCCTTATTTAATTCTCATTTTCTGTGCTCGTGATGTTTATGGGCATGTACCCAGCTGTGCGCAGGTGGTTTTGGGGCTTGATAAAAAAGGTAACAACCAGGTGCCAGAGAATAAGCAGCAGGCATCTGAAAGACACAGCACCTGAAAAAACCCACGCAGGTATAGCTAGGCAAAATACCAAATAAGAGTGAATCTGGGGCTGGCTTTCACTTTCACTGCTAAATGTGTTACAAACAGTTACCGCCATAGTATACTTTTAAAGACCCCCTTCATATCAGCTGAATATGTTTTTAACAACCCCCAGCACCTGAAGTTCTTACTTGGCTGCAGTGGGCGATCAGAGGTGCAGCAGACTTAAGGTTAATCAGAGGAGGCTGTTGGAACAATATTTTTAATTCTGGTGTTAAGTTTATTTTCAAAGTCATGCTGATGCTTCTCTATTAGACTTCTACTAATCTACTTATGATAAAACAACAGTCAAAAAGAGCCATTAATGATTTAAGCAAAAAAAAAACAACCACCCAGTGTCATCATACATTAATGTCAATCACACATTGTATGTTACCAATTTAATCTGAACATATTCAGCTCTGCTCGCACACCACCTGCTGTAATGGCTGACAGTAAGCTGTATTGGCTCGCTGCCACCACAGTGCAGCAACACCACCTGCAGAAGCCTTTGGGGAGTCCCTCCAAACCCTCCCCAGTTCCAGTAAGGATATTTGGTATTTTAAAGTAGGCCAGTCTGTGAGATAAATCCTGCCCTTTTCCCTCAAGGAGAACCTCTTTTTATCTCTCTGCATTGCACTCTGATGTGTGTCATTGTCAACTTAAGTATGACTATACTATTTCTCTATGTCATGTGCAGTGAACATATTTACTGTTCCAACTTCAGTAATATAGTTGTCAAAAGTGAAAACTTAAGTTATTCCCCTCTAATTATACATTGACTTACTGGAACAATATGATTATTTCCCTCTCCTGATTTGTTTGTCTCATAATGAGACTCCCTCTATATGGTGATACAGGAATGCCCTGAGCTTATGACAACCATCATGAACTAGTTCACATGTACGAAATGGGAACAAAGTTGACTTTCTCTGGGTGGAGGTATTTTCCCACCACTTAACATTGTTTGGATTTTATCAAGTAAAAAGGAAGTATTGTGGACTAGATATGACAAACTAATTTTTAAAACTTTAATTAGTATCAGCAATAACAGACATAAATACGTGACATTATTGTAACAAATATCTCACGAAAAGCACAAATATCTCTCTCAATTAAATTAATAGGCACACAATGACGTACAGTAAATAAAGGGATACTCCAACAATTTTTCAATGCACCTCCACAAAGGTGGGGGACATGACAGGGACAAATAAAAAAGGAAGGATTGAAATCGATACAGCAGAGACTGAGATATCCTAAATTTAACTCTAAACATATGACTCAAGTTCCGAAAATAATGGATCCTACATTTCCCATAATGCACCTCAACTGCATCTTTTGATTGACTTCCCCTGCCTGGTAAATGCAAACACCTTTCAAAAACCAGTGAAATGCACATTTTCAGTTATATTTTCTTTAGTTTCCAAAACGGTTAGCTCGGATTCACCAAAGTCACACAGCAACACAAACTAACTGATCGACCAGAAGCTCCTGTGTTCAGGGATGTTAAATTAATGTTTTCTCAGTAGAGTCTGGTAGCTTTGAGAAGAGCACAGATTGGAAACTGAAGACGTTAATGGCACACCCACTGGGAAGGGCTGTTTGCGTCAAAATAAAGCTGTAAAAATATTCTCCATATAGCGTACACTTGAGACTAACTGAATTGTTTTTAGTGGCTAAACTATGTTTTGCTGCCGTCCACTGCAGTACATTGCTTAACATCCATGCTAGTACTCCTGCCTGCTTCTCCAAACTGGGGATGTCCCAACTGCCATCTAATGCATGTAACACACTGAATATAGATAAGTACCTCACACAACCCCGTTTCAAAAGAGCTGCACTATTTCCCAAATACAGCTAGCCTTTTCAGCCCATATACATAGCTTGCTAAGTATATGAATTTGACTTCTGAGTCATAAAAACCACAAAACTCTGTGAGACAGGGATGACACAGATAAGGTTACACCCTACATCGCAATCTTTTATAAAAAACATTGGCAAGGAAGTGTACTCTCGTGCTGTAAAGCATTACGCACTTCTGGGGGATCCTACCCATAGTGCAAGAACAGGCACTCAGGCCGCAGAGTGGAAGTGATAAAGCATTAAGGCCAAACTGCCTCCCAACTTTATGAGTGGTTGCTGACGAGGCATTTAAAAAGGTTTTTTTTTAAAGTGGACTCACTCCACATAAAACGCTACATTACATCACTTCCAGCAAACTTTACAGGGAACAATGAGGGCAAAAAAGCATCACTAATCTGTTTTAACTGAATGATCTCTGGTCTAGCTCAGCTAAAAGCACAAGAACACTGAATCCTTCAGCATGTTCAAGTGTCGTTCACTAATGGGTTTGTTTTAGCCTACTGACAACGCTATCTTTACTCCACCTGCTCAACTGACTTTTCATTTTAGATGACAGACACTTGACTGTCCTGTTGTTACAGACGTGAACTAACCACAGACACTCGCCACGTTAATTAACTTACTGCAGTGCTCTGCTACAGAATGAATGCAGGAGAAACATTGGAATGAATGGTTTGTATAAGTTTGGCCTGGCAGGGGCTACAACTGGTCTGCACAGTTTTAAGGAAAACACTATTGAGGCACCATTCTATCTATTACAAGTCAGTGTACAATGATGTTGAAAATGTTAATTAAAGGTTAACTATAGAGTGCTAGCTTAGCAGTTATATGCCTCAGTGAATCTCATCTATGTCTGGGAAAACACAGATGCTTCACACACATCTTCCCCCTGGAAGATCTATAC